TAGATAAAGAAAGATAGTTTGTGATTTATTTAAACAATAAAAAAATATTGCTCATTCTAATTGTACGATGATAGTTGCAAATAAAAACACAATCACTAAATAGATTCTCAATAGAAGATTCAATAACTATAATATTTTGTTTTACTGCTGGCTGTCAAAAAATATGAAATATGTATTGAAAACTATATAATTATCATAATCAGTTATTATCGTTGTAACTATTGAAAACAAAACATAAATCAATAGCAGAGAAAATTTCACATGTCTGAAATAAATAAAATTTAGATTTCGAATTAAATTTTATTAGCTTATACGTTTAGGTATAATTTTATGTGCAATCGCTTGTGTTTATTTTTATACAGTCGTATTTTACTCGCGATTTAATCGTATTGCTAAAATCTAAAATAGTACACACGCGTTTAAACATTGTGTTTACATTCCATCGAATATGTTTCCAAATGAGAAATTAGTTCTGTTTTTTTTTCAAGCTTAGGTGTATAATAAAGTATTTGACAGTTGTGTAATAAAATAAAAAAGGAATGCTTTTTATTTTTGTGATTTTTATATCGTTTGAAAAAATTTTCCCCACCCACTGTTTCATTCACCTTAAAGGTGGGTCTCGATATATTAAAATTCCGTAATTCCAATTCATAATCAATAACAATAGGTTGTTCTTCCATTTAGGAAAATAATTAGCTCGTGAAGGTAGGCGCTTTTGTCGATAATAATAATGCAAAAATGAAATTCTTCCCTAATAAAATACAATTTTAATTAACCTTGTCACAGCATGTCTCCTAGAAATTTTCGCATGTGAAAACTCGAGCAATAATTCAGAAACATTTCGGGGCGTAGGTAATTCCGTAGCGTAGGCGGCACCGTTTCACGACGCCTCCACCTCGTCCACCCCCAAAGCTCCGCATCTACCCACCGAAAAACTTGATCATTCAAATGCGGCAAATAACCGCGTTTGAAACAATGTCACCTTCAGTGCCAAATTGAGTCCCAATTCACCGACTAAACAAATTAATAATACGACTTAAAAGGGGTGTCGGAACCAAAGGGGCGCTTGCGCTGGACTATTGTTCGATGGCAGTAATTAGATCCCAGGACTCTGATCTAATCTGCATTAATCCCGTCATTAAATCCGATGCATTTTGCTAAATACTCCCGGAAATAGAGTATTGTTGGTTGTCTAAGTCGCGCTTTGATGAACCGATCGGGAAAAAGTCCAGAGGGTGCGATCATTTACCACCACTATTGACATTACAGTCGGTAACTAATGAGAAATTTTGTTTGCACATCGCTTTGATTTCGTCCAGCCCTCCAGTTGCAAATTCGTCAAGTTAGTAGTGATCAATAAAACTACAATTTCATTCACTGTCGAAATTTTTACGATGGAGTTAACGATGTTACAAAATATCGAAATCTGTTAACAATAGTGCTAATTACTACAAATTCATTTTTGATTAAAACAATTAGCACTTTTAACAGCATACAAGAAAACCTTTATATGTAAGTTCCCTCAAACCGTCTGAAATTTTCAGCAGTGCTTTCAGCTTATCAAAGCGACATCTATTACAATATCCAAAAATCCTCCATTTTAGGATTCAATATTCCTTCACGCGCCTTGAAATCTATAACTGAAAAAACAGGATACGCCATCTCAACTCCGGTAGTAAAACCTTAATTCAGTCCAATGGGAATATTTGAATTCCGATCCAATTGGGTACTTTTGTTAGAATTTGATCAACAAGAAAATTTTAACACTACCCTTGGACTCCAATAAATTTCTGAGGTAATTTTGCAAATTAATTGCCGAATTTTGCGCAATTATTAAATCGCCCACAAAATTCAAAAATATTTATTTTTTATATTCAAAGTGTATAGTGAAAGCTGCTTTTAAAATTACTTTTATGAAAGTGCTACTGCGCTGTTTAAAGTTTTTATGTTGTAACAAAATTTTTTAACTGGAAATAATGGTTATTTATTCGACGAGTTTGAGTGTAAATTGAACGCTTTATTTGACCGAGTGGATTTTTAAACCACGAGTGTAACGAGTGGTTTACCATCCACGAGGTGGAATAAAGCGTCCGATTTACACTCAAACGAGTTGAATACAACATTTTATTCTTCGAATTAGACTCAACAAGGCTTAAACTTGCTTTAAATCWGTTYAAAATAATTTGACGTTTCGTATTGAGAAATGCCAAACAGTTGTCAAAACTTCCTCACACSAGAGAAAAACAGTGACATTGTCGAAGAATAAAAAAATATCACAAAAAGCAATGCCAAAACTTAGAAAAATAAAATTAATAATGGAAAATTAAAAAAGTATTGAAAACATATACAGTGTCCCATCTAAGACTTTCGGATCAAATATCTCTGTTATTTGCGGGTTGTCACAAAATTCAGAATATTTACTAGGCAGAGATCGCCTTACTAAATTTGATTTTAACAATTTTAACATGCCTTTAAAAAATGCTAAATTACTTAAAATTTAGATCAAATGGTTAATCGCCAATAAAAAATGCCATAAGCAAAAATCTGTTTTTGTCCTGCTTTCAAGAAAAAAGAATAAAACTGTGTTAAAAGCGGCTGAAGATGCAAAAACATGGGCGGCTATAAAAAAAAAGAGCGACCTTACCGAATTTTGCTCACCCCTGGCAGTCGGGCGACAATGACATTGACATGTGACGTTTATTGTCTCTCTAACTTCAAAAAGTTAATAACGTATTTTAGGAAGTGCATAACTGCATGTATTGAACTAACCAATTCAATACAACTAATGATGCATAAAAGGTACCCACCATTGGCATCAATTGTTCTAAAAGTTCTAAACGTGTTCTAACTCAATTTACCACAGGTTTTCAGGGTTGTACAAAATGGTACATTGATGGACAGTGAATTTCGTCCACCCAATTTCCGTGAATTTACAAAATTCACTGTAGACTGTGCTTTATTGTCATGGTAACTGACATTCAAATACGTATTGTCAAATTTAARCAAATTCGAACTTGCCAACAGTAAGTGCGTTTAATAAAATAAAAAGTATCTCCCTGGTACAAGAAGGTATGTCCCAAAGAAGAGTATCTATACTTTTGGGCATACCAAGGACTACCATTTCAAAGGACAAAGATAAAAGTAGCAAGGAGCATCGAGCATTCTGTCAACATGACAAACATTAATCAAAATTCTGAAACATGGTTAGAAAAAGCTAAAGAATAATTTATACTTTTAATCTGTCAGGGAAATTGGGTGGACGAAATTCACTGTCCATCACTGTACCTACTTGGAGACGTTAAACTAMTGTTTTAAAGTTAAGTTTGATAAAATTCTTTCTTAAATTAGGTCAAAATTTTAACAACATAATCGACGTATGATTCAGACATGTGATTTAGTTATGTTTTTGTGTAGAGGTCTATTTTTAGTSCTTAACGATATAATAGCATCGAGAGATKAAGATAATTTGTAATCGAGTCATCTTTGAATCTGAAAACGTATYTGTCTATTTTTGAAGTAACTGCACGTGAAACGTCAAATAAAATGATAAGTTTAAAGGTAAAAAACAAAATGGGCTGAAATTAGWCGCCCACACTTGTATAACAATGGGACCGRTCTTTTTTGAAGGTAAATCATAAATTTATAGTTAGTAAAATCATCATCTTTTATGATCATGCCATTTTACTTTTCGACTTGTCATTTTATTTGACATTTCACAAACATACGTTTTGGAATCCAGGAATGACTCGATTACAAATTATKTTGATCTCTCGAAAAATATGTGTTAAAATTATTTTTTATCTTGAGGTAATTTTATTAATATTAATTGAATCTCCACGTTCTAAGTAACCTACATTTTAAATTGTATAAAAATCCGTTGTCAAATCACAAAAATTCTAGGCCCAAAAGTCTTACGTGAGGCACCCTGTATAGACACTTTAAACTAAGAAAAATAAAGACTATATGGCAATATTGTTTTGGCAAATTTTAGTAAACATTTTTTTAATTTTAATCGTAGATTCTGATATATTGTTATGTTAAAAAAAATAAAAAAAATTATTTTGGAATTAAGTATTTTCCAGTTAGCAAAAAAGCAAAAATTTAGGGAAAATGCCAGCCACAAACAAATAAATTCTTTTATCTAATCTTTTGTAAAATACTCTGGAAATAAGTCATCTAGCGACGAGAAAACCGGAAAATTTTTGTTATTTTGGAAGTTATCGACGATAATGGTAATAAGACTAATAACTAATAAGCTACTTAATTCTTTTGCTCCACTATAAGTGTAGTAAAAGTGACCGTGAAATGTCACACGTTCCCATAAAACTAATAGAATAAGCATAAATAATGGGTTTTTAATAGCTTGAAGACAGAGACAATTAATAATTTTATTGATATTTCTGTATTTACAGTCATATAAATCCCAGAAACAGTCACCAATTAATGAAATAACAATAAAATGTAGATATGAAATTTAATTAGATTCATAATGAATTGAATAAAACAAGTAAAATTTACTACATATTTGCGTATTTTTCATCTATCGTCTAAATAAGTGGGACGAATCTATGCAAATATCTTCGAGCCCTCATTTTTTAATCAAATATCAAGCCGAACAAAAGAAACACATTTTAATTTCTACAATGGCTATTTGGCAAATGATCCGCGACTGCAGCAGATTTTCTGATTTTCCCTCTTGATTTATTTTCAGGGAAGTAGCGCTTCGTGGAAACCATTACTCAGGAAAAATAGATCATATATTTCATATAACGAAACATGTTTTACGTGCAATTCTTAAAGTACATTGTACCTTCTCACACGTACAGTTTGTCTGGCTTTATTGCCCCAGACATATTTATAGTCGCATTTCGTTCCGATCGTATTTTTGTTTTCCCCATCATTTTTCGATTTTAAAACATTCAATGAAAAGAAACTTACTAAAAACACCGAAAATTCGCAAATATACACAGTGATTTACCTACTCTGTCAAAATGACGCAATTTGTCAAACATAATATCAAATTCAAGTACCTTCTGTAGTTTATAATGGCGGCCACTGAAAATCTGAATAGAGTGTCTTCGAGAAGTCATTTATCCAAAAGTTCCTCAGCATCTCCTTCCATTTCTCAATCGGTGCYTGAGCAAAATAAAAAAACCAAATCTTCAAAAAGTWCTCAAAGTGTTTCGAAAAATGGTTCTTTTGTYTCCGCCAGAAACGCCTCTTTGCAATCGCAAGAAAGGGTATCTAAAGCCGATAAYGACAAATCTAAAGGTAAATAAATATCAGAAAAAATCTCCGAAAATTGTGATCTTTTTAGGAGATCGTTGTGAGCGCGGTCCTGATTTATACAGTCGTGTTTTGGGGCACACCGCCGATGAGACTATCCTAACAGGACTCCAGACGGTTATTGACTTGTGCAACAAATTAAGAGTTTGTGGAGACAGAGACGAATCAGGCGACGAAGAACCTGAACGTGAACAGGTAGAGTTAATTGAAAAAAAGATTTCCCACACTGAAAAGTAATAAATATTTTCAGGATGTTCCTGAAAGAGACACTCCAAGTGCAAGTAAAATTATCCTTACTTAGTAAAATTTACAATTGCTGTTTTAGGTGATTTCGACAGGATTTCAAATCAAACCGTCTGTAAGTATTTTTGGGGATAATATTTATTTCTTTAAACTGTTTTCTTAGATGACCACAGTCGCATCCCAAACATTTCCGTCAAATGTACGTAAATTATTTTAGTTTTAATTCGATTTTTAACACATTTTTGTTTTAGTTGGTGTCTAACGTAATGCAGACTTCATATGTAAWACTTTGTAATTTTTAATTCGTTTTTCAAATTTTCTAGTTTTAGGTCGAAATTGCCGAACCTAAACCAACAGTAAATTATAACCATATATTTTCAAATATTTGTCTATTTTAAGTATTATTTTTCTAGATGAATACWCTATTTATTCAAACATCAAATACCACTGTATGTAATTTTATTTTTGTTGCATGTTTAAAATAATGATTTTCAGCTAACATCTGATGCAATTCAGACTATAGATCCTGGGGTAAGTTTTTCTCAGAAAAACTTAAAACACAATATACTTTTTAGCTAAAATACGAGTTGGTGCAAACGAGTAGTGCGTTACTTCCAATTGTAAGCAAACACATTAAAAAATGTTTTTATTGTAATTTATTAAAGATAAAGTGCCCTGCAATGACCTCATGTCCGACTCAAGTTAATACACTTACGTTTTGTGAAGGAACAGAAACCCCCGGTGASCATTGCATTGCACCACCTGAACCACCCCAAAAACGTAAAACCTGTAGATGTTGTAAATGTTCTGCATCCACCATAATAAAAAAAAAGAAAACTGAAAACGGAAAACGGCCATGTCATTGCACTAATAAAAAACTATCCAAATGTAGATGTGGAAAACAAGATTGTAAGTTGAAATTTATTTCTGGGGTGTAATTTAAGACTCATCTTACTTTTTTAGACGAAGTGGCTGAAAGTAAAGAACCAGAAGAAGTGAGATATGCCGTTACCAAAATTTCGAAATATAAAGAATACACGACTTTCGAAGTCATGAGGTCGACTAAACACAAACCAAGGCAGATACCTAAAGGTGTTGAAGGAGTTTTCGTCTTAAAAAAAAAGAATGAGAATTCGAAAAATGATCTGAAAAGTCGCAGTAAGTCCAAAAGTGAAATAAACGGTTTGAATGGTTTGAGGAACGAAGATGAGGCATCAAGACGGCAAAGTTTTGTCAGTGAGTACAGCAGAGGTGAAACTGAGTGAAGTCTAAATTTTCTGCGAATTTGTTAAAATTAAATATTTTTGCAACACTTGTGATGTCTGTTTAATTTCGAGAAAATAAATTGTTTCAAATTTCTTAATCATCTTTTATTGTGTAATTTTCTGTTTTGASTGCGGTTTCGTCTAAATCATAGAGACTTTGCCATCATTTATCTCACTGGGAGCAGTTTGTTTATTATTACGTATTCTTATTTTTTTTTTAATTTCATATGAGATATGAGTTTGCAAATTGAACATTAAATTTCCATTACCGGATCACATCAAAATGCCATTGATTGATGATTATTGACAAATTCATTCAAAAGTACGTCTAACTAATAGCTTACTTATTATGCCATAAAACACGATTAAAAGAAAACAGATCGCCAAATTCTGTAGTTTTTGCCTCTCAATTAATACACTTTTGACGTTTGAGTCAAGCAAATATAGAAAAAAAGATTATTTAAATATTCTCTATCYCAAAGTTTTAACATAAACATTGAGCTATTTATGCTCATAATTTTTTATTTATTCTTAGCTTAATATTTAAGTTGTTCTGGTATTGGTTATCAGGAGTATTGACATAAGTATTATTCCCCTCAGAGTTTAAAGAAATGCATGTTTACTTTCTTACTAGAGTTTAGTTTCGATCAATATTTATAATGGATTCAGTCAGGCATAAAATTGGAAAAAAGTACAAATGACTCGAATCACAACTCAACTAATTATCTCTTTAGGTAAGAATGGAGAATGTAAAATCTGATGCAACATTTTTTTTCGCTTTAACCACCCACATGTTTGTTTCAATTTTCCATTGGTTTTAATCCTATCACGACTTGACTTAATGTTTCTTGTATTTGTATAAAGTTCCAGTTTTACGATTCAATGCAAAACCGGACATAAAAGGGCGCCGAAAAGAGCTGATCCGCCCCTGCTCGTACTCTTTCTACTTATTAAGAAATAAGAACAATCGTAAGGCTATTTGGCTTACAACAAACACCCGTCTCCAGTATAAATTCGTAATAAAGCAGGCGATTTGCATAAGTTGGCGTATTTTGCGGAGTGTTTTCATGAAACTTAAAACGATACAATATTACTTAAAGAAGTTTATTCAAACTGAGCCAAGTTCTCGCCCAAACAAATGTAAACTAAGATTATTAAATAGAAAAAAGGAAGATACATCCATTGGACAAATTATAAATTATGTAGCAACGTACCTTGCCCTGGTGGGAGTTTCTCAGGGCGACAGCGTCGCACTCAACATCTCAAAGAGTCAGTTTACTCACATTCTGCAACTAAAGCGCAACTGGCCTAAGCGCACCGACTCGACCACGTGCTTTAGTCGCTCCTGAGCTTTCGCTGCTGGTATCAGAAATGAGAGTGTTGTGAGTAGGTTTTCCGTTTCCTGCAACCACTACACATCAAGGTAATGAAATTTTTTCCAATTTTGGATTCGGATTTTTCACTTCATTGAACCGTTAAAATTCTAATTAAATCGGGATAAAGTATGCATAACGTAGCGCTTTAATTGTATAATTATGTAAATGGTGACAATTCAAGAGCAATTGTTGCAACAAATTGGCTGATTAAATAATGCATGGAACACAAAACAAACATCAATTCTAACATGACATCAACATCCTGGTATGACGAGACAATTCGGGTCAGATTTTCTATAAACCCACAAAAAATCAGACGGATGAGGATTTTTCTACGCCCAAAACAAGATCGAGACAAGCTAAGGCGTTAAATCCCACGAGGGTGTGAATTTTAATTAAGTTGATTGCGTAAATTCAGAGCAACTGATTCAAAAGTTCTGACGAAGGTCGAGGCGGTTTTCCAAATTGGTCAATCAGTCACAAAATTATCTCTAGACATTTACTCTTTAAGATATCACAAATTCCTTCCTAAATCTTTCACAAAAGAAGAAAAATTTGCTGGTAAATTGTGATAAACAAGCTCTTATCATTTGAATTTTTACTCCCAGTTTCTTTTAATTATTTTATTGAAATTTTATCTTTTATAGAAATTTCAACAGTGGCATTTATAGCTACTATAAAAACGATTAGAGAGAAATTTTGCAAAGCATTTATTACAACTAATGTRCGGGTTTTCACAGTTTCCAGACATTAATTAGACACTCGAAGCTTTCTTCAAACTCTTAATTAACTTATAATTAAAGTTTTGCTAAAAATTTATCACATACATAATTTTACTAAAAAATATGCGGAAATAACCTGTCTAGGAATGTCAGTAATGCACATTACAACTATTATTATTGAATGCTTAATTAGGAAATATAAATTTAATAAGGCTTTTCTTGAAAAAATATTAATTTTATTAATTAAATTCCATGTATGTGAGATCAATATATCACAATTCTGAAAAAAATGTTAGTAGCTAAAAATAACTGACGTATCCTGGAAAGGATTTTTAAGTGCATTAAATGTCGAAGGTTMCGACCTTTTGTCTGTGACCCTTTTACCAGTCACCTCAAAACTCCAACATTTTTCCCCTCGGATTATTTGAGTAATAAATCCATACGCACTTCTAATTATACATGAAATGACATTWTCTTTGAACGATTTAGTAATTTTCTTAGCAATTCGAATTTTTTCGAAAAACACTACAAGAAAACAAATATAAATTACAATCAGTGAGTAATTTCCTTATTAAAATGCAAACGATCACAGGTGTAGGTTATTTTATCCATTAATAATTAGAAGAGCAATTAGGCACCACCCACAATATTTTTCCTCATCGTGCACACGTTCTGATCAAGTCTTGCGGAATTTCGTAAACGTTTCAATTAGATTCGCGCCAAAGGCGTGATGGCAATTTAATCATCAGCCACAGGTGGTTGAAATCCTTTGTTTCCACTATTAGATGACTTCATGTCATTTACGTAACGTATTTACATGTAATTAATTAGAATTTCAAAACTGCAGCGAGATTTTCGCGTGCGACATACAAATCATGAATGGAGCGGACCCGCCACAAAGAGCTCCCACGCTCAACACTCCTGGAAATGTCAACGAAATGAAACTTATGTAAGTGCAAGAGGCGAAAAAATCACAAACACACTGTATATATCAAGAGAGTGTTTACGAAGTGTTTTTTGATTTATTTACTGGCGTAGAGTAACTAATTAGAGGGTCTCCGGATAAAATATCTCCTTTTGTTATAGTTTCGCATGGTCACTTCCGGTGTGATATATTGATTCCGGACGATTGTATTGCGATGAGCTTTGAAWTGGAGCAAATGCAAATATTTACGAGTATTGCGTTTAAATTCTATCGATTTCGAATTGAGCCAATGGTCAGTTTTTTAAARGTGTTACATCTATTAAAAAACAAAATTCTTGAAATTGATTTCTTCGATGAATATTCTATGTGCCATTATTTATTTATTTTTTCGAGTTTTGTTGACGACTGAAGAATTATGATCTGGAAAAAGAATTGATAATACATTATCATAACAATTGCTATGGAATGTAGTAATTTTTCTTTACTGACAGCTATACTAGAGGTGTGGGTGTTTTTATTATTGCAAAAGAGTGACACTTTCTTTCATTGTTGTAATAATGTAAACATTATAAATTTCTACTTGTTTTGATTTAATTAAAATCTTGTCACTGCAAACAGATTTTCTTTATATTTTCYTTTCAAAACATGTTTATAGAAACCTTGTTTTGTAAAATTCAATGTTWATTTAAAAAAATAAAACTGAGAAGATCGTGTTAAGAGTAAATTACATTGTGTTGGCATCTATTAAAGAATTTATTTTGCATTTCCATATTCAACTCCGGTTTTTTCCGGGAARAGGCAACACTTGTAATGTCTATTTGCTTACTTAACTGTGGCCACAAGCCATTAAATCAGGATCAAGTCGATTTTTTCTCAATTCCCAATAACCATAATGTCAGCTTTGCTCCATAAATAAATGGGATTACAAGTAGTTATCTATAACTTCTTACTCCTTGCATCATATAAAATGCCGTTTTATAAATCTATTTAACTAGAACTTATTATACTTAGTTTACTTTAGCTGCGAAGATTGATTTTTGTATTACTTGGGTTGATTTTGGCCAAATTTGGTCACAATGGTCTGGTCGCCCGTCTCGCATTCCTTCCATTCGGCGTCTCGAAGGAGTGAGAATTAGCCCATAAATCCATGCATAATGACAAAGTTAACACGATTGCATGCACATTCACCTCGTCTATATAAAAAGTCGTCGAATTTTTTCGATAGTTGAGCAAAGTACGAGAGATTGTATGTAAATGTTCATTGACGGAACGTCATGTCGTAAAGTGTCTCCAATTGAAATTGTGCCGGCCCACATAGGGAAAAGATGAAATGTGACAGTATTATTATGCATGTCGATTAGCCCCCCTTTGGGCACACCGACATCCAATTATAAGCAGATAGTGCGTGTCTGCGGAGTATCCGGTGACCGGAGGAAATCTGGCGGGCCATCGCGTATGAATGGAACGGCCCTGGATGTAGGCGAACACCTATAAGGCCGATGTGTGGGTGACGCGTAGGGTCCGATCTCTAGATGCACTAACCTGCTGTCGGCGGTGCGGTGCCTCATTACACCCAGGACCGGACCACAAATCGAATATTGTTACGCTAACATCTAACATTGCAGTAAGCGAACGTATGTCGTCCAATGTTTAGTCCACAAAGTTTTAATGATTTATCAGCTTCAGAAGTAAATAAAGTAATTAATTAAAAACATTCAAAATATTTCGTCTCCTTAGTGCAACAACTAGATAACTTGAAATTTATAGCTGTGAGTAACTGCAGTTGAAAAATTTAAAAGACAAAAAACTACATCTTGAAAGTAATCAAAATTATTATTAGTCATACAAGTGTGTAATATACTAAACTATGTTTTTTAATATGACAGAAATTTTGGTTTTAGGTTTTTGAAGTGTTGCAACAAATACTTTAAAAAAGCCTAATATTTAAGTTATCTAGTTGTTGCACTAAGGAGACGATTTTTAGATCACATATTTTTATGTGTAAGAGGTCACACTTATTTTTTCTATACTTGACCGCACTTACCGCCGTTCGAAATTTTAATACATTCCGTAATAAAATTCTAATTTTTGGAKTGAGTTTAGCGCATTTGGCCAATTCTTTTAATTTATTACAATAATTTCGCAAGATATGGTTTCTACAATTTCTAGTAATTTCTGCCAAAAAGAGAATGTTTTAGTTCTTTAAAATTTCAGGATTAACTATGTCAAATTTCTAACGAATTCTTCTATTATGATAGTTTTCTTAGAAGAACCCAAAATTATGTTAGAAATTAGTCTTTAACTAATAAGCAGTGCTAAATCTCAAAAAATGCAAATTTAGAGCGAGATATTTTTATATTGTACAAGAGTTTTCTTAGAAGAACTCAATTATTTGCTACATAAAAAAGGCACTTTAGAGAAAAATATATATTTTTTTAAATTCCCAACGTATACCTGATTTTTTCAAATTAAAATTATGTTAGAATTAGTCTTTAAATAAGCAGTGCTAATTTAGAGCGAAATTTATTTATCTTTTACAAGAGTCGTTTCCCCTATTCGGGAACACACTGTGTATCTGCTTCGAATTCTGTTGTCATTCATTTTGCGTTCTTAAACGTCTAATAATTTGCGAATTAAAATTTGAATGCAGTTAAATGTTCTATAAACTGGCCATAATGCTACTAGACTTCAAAAAAATGTAGCTAAAACCAGATATCATCAGTTTGAAATTCAACCTTCTTGCAGATACCCCTTATGTTAAATCATTATTAGGGGTTAAGCGCTCGATGGGGGGTAATAACGGTTGTACATCATGGAAGAAGCTTGAGATTTTCGGTCCAAGGGTAATGGGGGTTGCATCCATTTTTTAAAGTTCTTTTTGTAATTTAGCTTGTATTATAAAAAAAAATGAACGTAGCGAGGTGCATTTTTTAATTATCTACATACATAAAAAATTTGTTTTAAAATGTTGTACCGTTACAAAGAAAAATCTGGGCAAAGTTTTACAGTAATGGTAATTTTGTATGGAATCTAAGTCATATTTTGCAAAAATTACATCATAGCGGGGTACGTTATATTACTATTTTCAGATAGAAACATGGATCATTTTGTAGAATTAAAAAATACAGATTTTACACATAGGTGAAATTTGTATATTTTTCCGTATAAATTTTACACACTAATGGAGCCTTAATTTGCCCAAAAATTATAGCCGAAATAACTTTTCAAAAATTTGAGCGGGCTATTCAATAAATCATGTTAAACATTACATACATAACAACATTAGCAGTTAACTTTGCACTTTTGCATAAATAAACCGACTTTTTCTTCTACATTTGAGTATTTTCAATTTGGCATTTGTATTGGTAATAAAATAACGAACGAAACACGGCGCCACTGCAWTATTTTATTTTTGTACGGCTACCACTGCTAAAAATATAAATTGCTTTCTTCAGAAAGGTGTAATTTAGCCACCTGTCAGTGGTGGAAGAAATGCGAATAACTCTTTCTTTGAAACCGAACGTGTTTTTGAAAAGGCGGCCTGATTACGGCCCTGTCCGTCTGAAGAGAAAGATGGTATTGTGAAAGGCAGGTGGTGGGCGCCAATGAATGGACATCGTATTTGCTACAAAAGGCGATGCGTGATTGTTGATCAGTCCTCCGGATTTTTCTATATAATAACCACACGACGAAATTCGAATTTCCGGTGTATTGTTCAATACCGCCCTCGAATTTGTTCGATTGAGTGCATGATTTACGTCGGCTTTCTTATCCCGACTTGAAAATTTTCATGCTTTTGCAGTGGGTACCTGAGACGTTGTCGTTTGAAATATTGGCAAGCGTTCAAGCTGCCCTCGTTTACATAACGCCACAATAATTTCAAATAATGCTCGTAATTTTCAGAATCATAATATGCACTTACCTAAATAAAATAGATTTTCTTGTTAGGTTTAAGACCTGCGAATTTGCATGTCTGCGCATTACGTCAAGCCGGCGAAAATAACAAACTGATTTTTTATGGCGGGCGCCACGAAGCTCTTAAAAAATAATCAGTTGTCTAAAAACAAGGAAGCTGAGGCTTCAATAAGACAAGATATTTCTAGAGCTGGTTGGTCGGCGAAAACACGCCGTCAGCAATTGCATACTGTTTCCATAATTTTGTTTGTTTTTCCAAAATAGCATAACTAAGCGGTTTATAATTGTCGGAGGATATATTCAGCTATTCGACTCTTAACACCTTATTACTGTCGATACACTTTCCAAAACTTAATTTTGGTTCAAAATTTCCTTCGTATAACTTCACAAATCTTAAGACCAATTTTAAATATTTAAAAAAAAACTGATAAAATAATGATATCAAGATATTGTACAAAATGTTTTGATTTTTGGATTGTTAAATAGATTCCACAGTTGTTTTTAATGATTATAATGATATGATACTAATAAATTTTTTATTCACAAATCAGTAACATGGATTTCATTGCTACTAATGGGTTTTGGATTTTATGATAAGTACAATTTTGATTTTTACATTCCTTTAGTGTCAAATGTAATTAATAGTTTTCTCACTTCGAAAGCTAATTCTTTAGCAGTAAAAGGGGCAGTTACTCTATCTTTACAACCTTTAAATAACTTCCTATTATATATAAAATGTCAGACCTTTATTACCTTGGCAGCACGTATATCTAACGCCAAAGGCAAAACCAAAGAAGTAGAGTAATTTAACGGATCATTTCACATCAGTTTCTATTGCAGTCAGTCATGATTCACAACTTTTATGCGCCATTCTGTTTATTTATTTAACTTACTTATGATCAGTAAAAATGTGAGTAAAAAACTGCAATAAAGTTTCAAATACTGACATTGACATTGAGAAGAGGCCACTAGTACCTCATATTTTTGAACTTTAATTAAGTTCGAAATAAYTTTGTCTGAATTTTATTACGTGCATCGATGGTATTACCTACCAATTAAAAAAACCCGAAAACGTTACAGCCAATTATGCCAACCCACCCATTAGCTTTTTGAGGAGATTGAGTACAAACTTGTCTGATTTTGTGTGGGCAAACATCGAGTAAATATGACTGTTAAATCACCCATATAAACAAGTAGCTTCATCGGGTCAAAAAATTGAAAATTTCAACTCAGCAAAAAAAAAATATTTTTATTTCCAGATGGTTTTCCACGGCATCCCTTTCGCCCTTTGCATATTCTTCAGCCACCAATTCATCACATGTATGTCTCGGAGTCCCTCTAGTGACTCGATTCTTGAAATAATTAACACCAAAGAAGTTGAGAGGCTTTTAGCCGAAAAAAAACGGAACATATCACGCGAGGAGAGACGTTACCTTTTGGAGAATGAGCTTGACGAAAATTATATCCCTCCAGATCAAGAGTTTGAGATTCAAAAATTGAAACTATTGGACGAAGAGAGAGCACCACGGACGGAAAATCCACGAGTTGATCTCAATACATTTTTGAGGAGGAACAACCATTCGGAACCTTACCGAACCACCGAGCTTTTGCAAGATTTGAGGGGTTACAACGGGAGGAAATTGTTAAAATCGAGCAAGAATGCGTTGTTTGTGACGAAAAAAGAGTACTTGCAGAGGGATTGGTGTAAGACTGAGCCGCTGATTCAGAAAGTGAAAGAAGAGGGTTGTTTGACTCGTACTGTGATTAATCGGTTTTGTTACGGCCAATGCAATTCGTTTTATATTCCCAAAAATCCGAAAAAGCGTCACCGGCATATTCCTGCGAGTGAGGAGACCGAAGACGAAGACCAAAACGGTCCTGCGTTCAAAGCCTGTGCTTTTTGCAGGCCGAGTAAGTTTACTTGGATCAGTGTAACCTTGAAATGCCCCTCGTTGATGCCTCCCTTCCGTAAGAAGCGCATCCAGAGGATCAAACAATGCAAGTGTATTGCGGCAAATGTAAACTAACTGAGCGATTAGTGAGGATTTATTAGCTGACGTAACGCTCTTGAACTTAAGGACAATTGTAAACTGCTTAAGATAGAGAGTAAAATTAAAAGTCGTAGCCTGGCATGGCTTAGGATTTTTAAAAGTGTTTTTGTACCGCGTTTTTGCCGGCTTAAGTGGCTAATCTTAGTTTAAAATGATCGGCGAGTCGTCGATATTGATCATTTCTGGTTAWWAGAACCCGTTTAATTGATATTTTATTGCAATTAGTTGCGAGTTGGGCGTCTTCACATGGCGCGTCTGTGCGTAAGGTTTTTTGCACGGGACGAGGAAACAGTCTGCGAGATTTAATGTCGGATAATTGTGATAAAATCTGCGTAAGGATGAGAGTGATATTGCGCGAAGCTAGACGATGGTAGGCGACAAGTGCTAATAAACGTTCCCAACAACATTAATAAGTGTACAAACATTAAACGGCGCCACAAACCTACATGCTGAGTGGGTACCGATCATTAAAGTTATGTTGATTTCTATTTATATTTTTATTATTAAACGGCCTACATGAACCCGAAATTGGGATTTATTCAATGAGGGCTGGTTTCAGGTATGTGGGCAGTAGCTTTCAGGGAGGTCTGAAAATTATAGAGAAGCGCTTGAAGATGCAGACTGCAGTGGCGAAATAACATTCAGGAAAAAAATACCAGTTTAAAATCATGCTTACAGATATATTTATTACTTTTTACTTAAATTTTGTTTAAACATGAAACTTGTTGACCAACTTCATTAAACTTTAATTTTAATTACAAGTCTATTAAAACAAATTTTTGCAATCTGGATTTAAAAATAATATCGTTCCTACAGTTTATCATTTTTGTTGCATTTATTCAACAATGTTTTTTTCTTTACTATAACTAAATGAACATCGTAATTAAATAAATAGTCCGTAGCAATAACTAAAATAAATAATAAGTTGACAATTTAAAGCAGAAAGAGAATTAAAACTAATACAAAAAAATAAAGTAATAACAAATTAATTGAATCATTGGTTGTGTATTATTGAATCATTAAAGACGAAAAAATGTTAAAACAAATTTATTAATTCAATAAGTTAACGACAACTAATATTTTTAACAAATATTCTAGTAGACGGTAGTTAAATTTGTTTTGTTAATTATTTTATTAATTATTATTGTCTTATTTTTATTACTACAAAAAAAAAACATATTATATTCAAAAGTGAGAAAACAAAATCTCATGAACAGCCACATTTTCAATTCCAATAATAAAATCTAAAATTCGGACAATTTTTGATGATTGAAAAAAATAATTTCCAWTAATTTGAAATTCGGTTTTATTTTAATAGATAGATAAGCTATGTAAAACTTTCAACATTTGTTGCTAAAACATTATAAATAGGTATACTATAATTTTATCGACAACGAGGTTATTTTTGCTGTCTGAATTATCGGTATTAAAATTAGTTTCAGTCAATATAGTTTGTCCATATTCTTATATTATTTGCCAAATTTACGAAAGCAAACAATGTAGAGTTATACTTACCTATTATTATCTCTATTCATTAATCAACGTGATGAGTAGCTTTTTTTCACTTTGGGTCGTTGAACGCCACTGTATTAAATTCACATACCTCATTTTCAGCATGTGAGCAATAAATTATAATTTTTTTTATCATTTAATAAACTAACTTTATCTGTTCAAGTTCCTACTACTTTTAGTGTGTTATAGTAATTAAGTGGATTAGTTGTAATTTTGTAATTTATTATTTATTATTTATAATTAACATGTAAGCGGGCGTGAGTTCGGCTTTATTTATTTATCCTGGGATAATTATACGAAATCCCCTTGTATGTAATTATTGCTTTAATGGCTATGAAATTTTAAAAGTCTGAATGTAAAAATACTTGTTAGTATTACCATTTAACAGTGTTATTTTATTGTTACACGTAGTTTCTTTCTATATCGCATTGAATAAAAATAAACACCGAGTACAGTGTTTTATTTGCGGCGCCAAAATGATTACAGCGACGTTTCCTCACCGCCAATCAAATGTTTATTTACTTATTTAGACTGCTACAAGACTAGGTCTCAAGATTTGTCACTTTTTTCCTCTTGTAGAAGTGTAGGGAATATCCGTTCGGTGTCGCAGGAACTCGCCATGCATCATAAACAAGTAGAGCATTTAAAGGAGTTGGCTTTTTAGTCTCGACAAGTCGAAAAGTTTTGCTTCTGGGACAACTACAAGTTTCTGTCTGTCGACGAACATATCAGACCTGGAGCCAGACCGACTGGCCGAGAGAACTTGAATTATCTTTGGTGTGCCAAACAACCAACCTGCCGATAATATGGCAAACTTCCATGGAATAATATTCACCTCGGACGTATAAATCCAGCGACGATTAGACAAGCGTTAAGTGTTTCCGGAAATACCCGGAAACCTGTTTGTTTGCAGACGACCGGAATATATGAGCTCGTCGAGCGCATTTTTTATACGAAAACACACAATAAAGAGACACTTATAACCACTTTTGGCATCAAACCCGGAATTGCATGATGGACCAAAAACCACCAGATTTATCGTTTGTTTATCTTTTACACAAAAAGAAAACAAAACGATTTTTTTTGTTTTTCACAATTATATAATTGTATTTGTAGTATCCTCCCGCCACATGGAAAATTGTTTGTCCACTTTTGTTTTATTTTCTCATTAAACATCAAAAAAGAGTCAAACAAAAGAGCACCTCTTTCGTAGTCCGGAGAAATCCGGAAGTGTTTATTTAGTAAACTCGAACATTTTTATGACACTTTGTAGACAAAAGTATAGAAAACCTTCACATTTATTCAATCAGGATAAAATTTTGGCCTCTGAGAAATTCATTTCACAACGCATAAAACATCAAAGTTATATTACAACTCGGCATATTTACATAAATAACTATTAAAAACAGCAGTAAATAAGCCAGTGAAGGTAGGCCACCACCAAGTGTCTGACAAAAATTGCTTATTTCTAAAAAAGTTCGTATCCAGATCGGGAGATCAGTCCCGCCAAAATTGACGCCCTCGTTCCRAATTTAATAGATAGTAGGATTTCTTTAAAGAGAAAAACAATCTGTTTGACAAAATAATTGTGCTATWATTATTATACGCAGTGTTCCAATAAAAAAGATGACATAATTCATCAAATATGGGTGGCGGACTAATCAACATTTTCAGCACAAGCCAAATTTACGATTTTTAATATTTCGGGGTATTAATTAGATGATTATTTGCTTRTTGTGTTAATTTTCATCGCCGCAAAAGGAGTGCTTGGATTTATTTGCTTTGACAAACYCGCGAAATATTTATTCAGTAATTTCAAAAATTCAAATTAATTAAAGCAGATTAAATAAAACAAACATTCGCACAATTAATTTATTGTTTTTGGGGATATAATTTAASAGAAGGTARWASGTAGGTACAAGGTGAAAGAGGCGTGCAAGTTTTGTTTGTTTTACATAATTTTCWTTATTTTGGTGCAAATTTTATTTTAAAAATAGTGAATTACGTTTTGTTTCAAAACAAGCTCCCACTAAGAATTTGCCTCATAATTGCAACAATGATTTTTTATTGATTGATTGGTTTTTTAAATAAAACACATGTTTGCTTTAAGAGAATACATTATATATTTTGACATCTGAAAGGGAACAGATCCATAATGTTGCTGTGGTCTGTTCAAGATAACATAGTGAATATACATCTGATTAGCTATAAGCATAAGTGAAATGGTCAACCATCTCACGATCACACAAATTTTAAAATCTTAAAACACCAAATCTTGATAACGAATTAACATCAATAAATGTTCTTAATTGTCAATAAATGTTTTATCCATTACTAATCCGAGAGATTCCAAATTCAAGGTAATGATACATATGATTTGATCATATCTTGGTTCCATCAGGGATGGTTTAATCAAAAGGTATTTTTAAGTCGCGCACTGATTTTACTTTGCAGTGTTAAAGATTGAGGAGCGCTTGATAGAAATAAAAATTTGCATCAAACGTTCCGAAGAGATAYTTAACAAAGCATTTGAAAATCAATAGGGCCTACTACCCGACTTAACAACACCAATTTTTCGTCCAAATTGATATGTCCTTAGCTCTCAGTAACCGACAAGTCACAAACTAAAAACCGGGTCAAACGACATTTCGGTCACTTAGAGAAACACTTTGTCAAATTTTGTGGTTGTAAAATGGCCAACGATACGCCATATTTTACAAGAGAATTCGAGTCCTCAGTTCTTTAACAGTATGGGGCCTTCTCAGGGTTAAAAAACACGATTATTTCAAACACTTAAAGCATCTAGAGATATCCTAAAATACAGTGCTTTCAAGAATCAAAATTTAATCATCAGCCTTATTCGTTGCCGTGTCGTTTGTCGTTTGATCAGACTGTCCTTTGCGTGGCGGCAGCTTCTTCGGCCAGCACTGGAAAAGCTGACGCCACTCGTAATTGTCTTTGGGGCACCTTTTCGTTCAGAATACCACATTGTTGCCCTTCTTGGCCGCCACTGGCAACCTCTCTCCATTCAAAAACGGGTTTAAGCGACGACTCTGCAAACAAACATAAACCCACAATCGCCCAYTAAACAAACTTACCGTTCTTGGGTATTGCTGGAATTTTTTCGCGACCAAATTCTTATGTTGCAACCCCGGGTTCATCTGAAACATCGCAATTACACAAACTCCAATATCACAAAAATACGAACCTGCATTGTATGTTGCAAAAACTGGTTAAACTCTAAATCATTAAACGAGTCATCATCGGAGTCACTAGGATTGGGGTTGGGGCACTCGAACATATGTTCGGTGTCACACATGCAATCCTGAGCTGCTTGATATCTCCTACTGTAAGAAGCCGTATTTTCGAAATCTTCAATACAACCTTGCTCCGCTAAAATTTTCTATTATTGAATACACACRAAAATTTTTCAACAAACAACCTGTGTAACCAACAGGGCATGGGTTGGGTGGATTGCAATATGCAGGTAAGGTCGAGTCAGATTTAACTTCTTGGATATTTTTGATGGTGCCTTGGGGACGAAGCCTCTGTTTGCCCTCTCCAGCTCCGCCTGACATAAACTGGCTTCCAAATAAACTGCTGTGTTCCAGAAATTCCTGATCACGAATGCTTGGATGAATATTGGGTTCACCTAAAGCTTCGTAATCTAGGGGGAAAAGTGGTTCTTCTTCCATGTCACGGCTTAAAGATCGTACACCAAGCGGGAGCCGATTCTCGGGGAAGTCCATGTATGCCAAATCCGGTAAATCCTTGTTCATTCGATTAACGATTTCCCGGAGGAAAACTCCGGGCATGAAATTTTCCTTAAATCGGTTTATTATTTCCCGAATTGTGCTCTTGGTTGTTACTTACTTTCCCATCCGGAATGTAGGCGAAAGCTGCGGTTACACTCCACAGAACTATCGCCACTATCATGGCGATAAGGCTATAGGAGTTCTGAAAGCATCGTCGGAAAAAACTATGATTTAATCCATTGCAATGTAAATTTAATTAAAATCAATTCAAACGGAATATTTTCCTAGTATTGATTCATACCATATTTAAATAAATAAATATTTTGATAGGATACGTGGGTTCATCTCATGAATGCGAACTACTTCTGAATGAACCACCTGTTTAACGATCAATGAAACCAGGATCACCGACGTTTTGTTGACACTGCGAAATTTACAATTTCGTAGCCACCTGGAAAAGTGTTTAGAAACACGTTTCCGGTTGCTTCTTGAAAAAGTGACGTGTCTCACAGCACCCAATTTATTTCCCTTGAGTTGCATTAAAATTTTTCCGAATTTTTACACCGCCGGTAATGAATTAAAGATAAAATTCAATAAAATTAGAAAACTGACAAAAGCAAATTATTTGTTTGTTTGTACTCACCCGTCAGTTCTAGTCGAAGTGCACGAGACCTCCGAATGTAGGCTATGTGAATCAATGACGCCTTTGCGCAATGGACGTCATTGGGCGTCCCGACGGCGACGTCAATTCGGATTACTTCGGGAAAATCGATCATAATTTAATAGGTTCTGATTGCATTCACACGATTTTAACAACGTTTTTAATTATCATCGACAACAACGAATTTATCACACAAAGACATCAAAGTGGTAGCGAATATGTGACGTCAGATATGACTTTTGCATTCAAAAAGCTCTCCGCTGGATTAATACGGCCACCCACATTTAGGCGTTGTAATACAAACRAAGCTGATTTTTCGTAGGTGTAATTTGGTATTGCACTAGCAAAATAACTCAATTAAAAAAATTCTTGCAGTAGACATTTGGAAACATATAGTTAACGCTTTTAAATAAGTTTCCAGAAAATAAATTGTATTGTTTTGAGAAAATATAAACTTTAAAGTTTTTAGTGTAGAAGTGTCTAAAATAAAATTGGTACTGTTTTGTTTACAAGAAGAAAAATAAAATAAAATAAGAACGCAATGTGAAAAATCGGGACAAACGAGAATAACGTTTTTTTTAACCAAAACACAGCTAAAAAACAGAAAAAGTCTTATTAAAACAAGAACCATTTAGTGGCGTTATAGTAAAATTCCAATCTTTATCGATCAGGTATTCCATATAACTTTTTTATATTATTAGAAATGGGTTTTGACTGTTTTGAGACTGCCAAAGTTGTGGAAAATTTATAGCAACGACTAAAGATTTAAGTAAGTCCGCTGGAGCCTGATGGACTTACACTATTCATTTTATTAATTCCTGCACTCCACCTTATACAGCGTCTTAACTTATATCTATAATTTTAAAAGATGATAGATTATGCCAAAAAAAAATTTCATTTTTTTTACTTATTATTGATCATTACCTTTTATGCCCTAAGTATAAAGTATGCGTATAAAGTTAAGACTCTCCCCCTGTATAGCGTCCAATTAAAAACGAAAATGACAAATTTCCGTTTTTTTTTTTCAATAATTCGAAAACTAAGAATGACACATTAAATTTTCTTTGCCCTATTTTAAACGACCTCGTATCTCTTGTAACAAGTGCGATCCCCATGTGAACTTGTGAAGGTCGAAAAACGAGGACCTTGCATTTAATTGTACTGGAGCAGAAAATAATAAAATCTGGTCTAAAATGTGCTATTTCGGTGTGCTTTGTTCAATTTTGACTAAGAGAATTGTCCTTATTTAATAATTTTTAGAAATAAAGTATCTATTTTTATATTTATCTATTTTATATTTATCTTTAGCTTATTTTTTGTGAATGTCCCGTTTACTATAAACGTTTATTTTCTATATGAGAAATTGTTGGATTTCGCTCATTTTTTAATGAAAATCTTACTTGCTTTAAAAGATATAATTGTCGGGAGAATGATGCAGAAAATAATTATTTCTGCTTTTTTCGATCGACTTAGGTTTTATTACAAATTTTGATTTTTGTGGATTTTCTTAATACCTTTTTTTTTGAGAAATTAAAATTACCGAAATAACAAAGTACTAGGATTTRTTAAATTTATCAAAATTTTTGCTTTACTTATCTTCTATCCGTAATTTTAGTATCACATCATTTCGCCATTAGTATTAAGACTTGAGTATGCATATACAATTACCATGTGAATAAACAGTATGGAACCAAACGTTTTTTTGCTTAAACTATTTAATTTTTGGAAAAACTAAATGATGAATAATAAAGTACATACTATAAAAATGTGATGTTTTATCAAAAAGAAAATTTTTCGGAATTATTTTTTTTAAATGGCAACCCAATATAAAACCATTTTTCTCATGAAGGTTATGATCCAAGAATTTCAACTATCTACTTTATATTTTATTAAAAAAAAATACATAAATTGCAATTTTGATAAAAAAAATCGCATAACTCGAAAACAAAACAAAATTTCGTTCTCAAAATACGATCACATTTTTTATATTACTTTAATTTATGTTAATTATTCATTTTTGGAGGCAAATGATTAAAAAAAYACCGCTTGATTTTGTTCACCCTGTGTAGCAAGCAACTTATTTACTCAGCCTATAAATGACTAACACTGAAACTGTAATTTATTGTGATGTATTGGTTTAAAATAAAAATAAAAAAAAAAGTTTACATCAAACTTTATTACTTGTAAACTACAATACTTGGAATATGATAAAAAAATACTGACTCCCATTTATTTTTCCTACAACTAAAAACCAATAATAATTTCTAGCGACAGAAATGTTGTACAGAAACTTTTTGTTTCTTCCTGGCCATCATGCCATCAAAAAATTCCCTGATGTCGTCTTCCTTGACAACTTTTTTATTCTCAACAAATTTCTTTAAATATTCGGCAAGATTCTCTTTCAGATCATTATAGCCAGCTATAGCTTCAACTAACTGTACTCTATCTAACGAATTCATGAAATTTCGATTATGAGTTTCTACCACCTCTTTAGCCTTGGCTTTCCCTTTCTCTTCATACAGATGTACCGGATCTTCAGGATCAATCAAAAACGAGACATTTTCCTTCTTGTACATTTCTAAACAATCATTGCAGGTGCATAAATCATTCCTCCATGAAATATCCTGCCAGAATTTGGCTCCAACATTTTCAGATTTAGTTTCAGGCTTTTTACACTTCTTTTCCTCACTAGTAGAACCTTCCTTAGTACCATCATAGTGTAAAAGGAATTCATGTTTGCCAACACATGAACCACAAATCATTTCAGCAAAAGGGCCACTGGGAACTTCCACTCCTAGATGTCTCGAATGGTACCAATCTTCACAAATGATACATTGGATCATTTCATCTGGCAATGGGTCCTCTGAATCAGGATATGGTCGGTGACAGACGCAATAAATCCCACTAAAGTTCTGGTTGTACATATTCAACTCATTGCTATCATCCTTTTCACTGCATAAATTACATTTGGTGCCATTAAATTTTTTATTCCCACAATCGCATCTAAAATTCCGTTTCGTGTACAACTCAACAAGTTCATGGCCGTCGTGGCAATGGTAACTGCAAGCAAGACAAATCCCTGCGCCCTTTTCCGGATTTTCTCTAGCTTCAGGAATGCAAGTGAGGCAAGAATAAAGTGCCTGTCTTTTGAGATAGCCCTAAAATATTAAGCTTGGAAACCGTCTTCAAGGTAAAAAAACAACTTACYTCATTATAGGAGCAAGCTTTGTCGTTGGAAGCACCCAGAACGGCAGCTGCGTCTTCGATAATCGCATCTTCAAGTTCCAAAACATCGTTTAAAGAGAGAGTTACGACTTCCGAATCTTCGACATTTTGATCACTAACGTCGCTGGTATCTAAATTCTCGGCCATAGTGAAGGAAAAAGCGGAAAAACACAGCAAATTTAGAGAAATCCGGCTCAAATACAAAAAACCGAGATTGACAGCAAAACAACAATGGCGCCACAAAAGTGCAGCCGCCAATTCTAGGGAGTTTGGCGGTTAACATGTGGCAAAACAGCGCCAAATTTAAATTCAAAATTTACAATAGTGCGTTCATTTTAATACATCAACAGTTTGTATTTTGTCCGGAAAATTATTTAAACACRATTAATTTTATTGTTTGCAATGTTTCATTTAAACTGACCGGATCTTTGGAATATAGTGTAGAACAATTTCGAACACTGAATTTTGGACATTAAAATGTCAGTTCAAATATCAAAAAATATCAATGTAAGCCTTATTGCCATTATGATTGACGTTGGAAACTAAATTTGAAAGTTTTAGTTAAAATTAATTTTTTGGCGTCAATTTTCTTAATGCCAGAAGCACGTGTTTTTATATACATAATTAAATAATAAATTATATCATTTATTGTCATTTTTTTCCAGCTGTCAGTATAAAAATTACAAAAACCGAAATTGAACTTAGTTGCCCATAAGGCCCATTTTARATTTTTCAAATTACAACAAAAAATACTCGTTATAAATAATAACTTAATTTTCAATTTAAATTTGGTGCGCTATGCGACATGTCAAGCGRTTTATCAAGAACGATCTTTAGTGAATTTTTTGATAGTATAAATAGTATAGCTTGTTCCAAATCTGGTGGCGAACTGACGTTGTCAAAAATGATTGAATTTTGACACTAAACATGTGTTTACTATTAAAAAAAAATTGTTCATAGGCGTCGTATGAAATAATATTTTAAAACCACTGTTATTCTTTAAAAAATTATAATAAGTAGGTACTCGTACATCATAAYATGAAGAATGATGAACGAATTATTAAATTTTTAACGCATGGAAAGAATTTTCAAAAATGATATTCCTAACAATCCTTGTCTTCAAAATTTTTAGAGAAAAAAAGTACGCCCATGTATTTTTTATCTTAACCAAGTGGGCGCACTCCAAGTGTCTTTTCTGTCACTGTCAGTTCGCCACCAGATATGGAATGAGCTCTAMTATATTTATTACATAGGTAGGTATTACATAGGTAAATAGTAGGTATCTATTATAGGTATTACTATTTATACCTATAGTCTATTAAGCATCAAGAGGTAAGAACATTTTACAATTGTTTGGAGGAGGAGCGAAGCGAAAACGTTCGTGATGCTTATGACATTATTTGCGCGATTGATTTTTGTTAGTATTTTTAATAAAATATCTAAAAAATATTCTAGAACGCCAAAATACTTTTGACTTAGCAATAATAAACAAAATACCTACCGACGAGTTTGGGATAGCAATGAGTAAATACAACTTACTGTCTTGGAAACAGACGTAGTAAACAATCGAATAGAGTAATTGGGCAAAAATCTTGTTGCGTCGTTAGCTTTTGGCCGAAGACAGAATTACACTAAACACACTTTCCAAAACAAAATTTACCAATTTTTTTAGAATTTTTTGCTAACGCATACTACTAGTGTAAAACCAACTTCAAAAAGTGCACCAAAGATAGATTGATTCAAGGAGGCATTTTTATTATCTACTATTTCTGTTTGTGTACGTGTAATAAACTATAAGAAGGAATAATAATTATTTACATTATACGTGCGGTAGGTATAATTTTACAGCGTGAAGGTTTAATATTCAAGCTCGAAGTGAAGCTGAGAGCTTTAATAAAACTGAACGCTGTCAAATACGTAACGCACAAATAATGTATTTACGAAATTTTTGGCTGAAGCCGTTTTTCGATTAATTTAAGTTATGTTTATTTTTGAATACTAAAAGATAAATTTGTGCGGTAAATTCTTTCAGCATTAATGGACTTTATATGTCATAAAGTATCCTTTTTTTTTGGAGTCCCTGAAAGCCTAACATTTTTTTGCTATTTTACAGCACTGCGTGCGCAAAACAGCACAAATATTTTGTAAAAATCAGATACAGTAGCTGTCAAAAATGTGTAAAAATGTCAATGCCAAAAATTATAATTACATATTAATTTTATTTGTAGGAAAAAAAGTGGAAATAATAATAGGAGTCTGTAATTTATAAGTAAGAAAACAATATATAAAAATGTTTAAATAGTTATATTTTTTAAACAATACATTTTTAGTGTTTATTATTTATAGARAAACAATCTCATTTTCCTTGTAGGTGTTACGCCACTGATAATATTTCTTTACAGATTTCTGTTCTATCTTTACAGGTGTCTACGTTATCGACTTAATGACACGTGACACTCGTGACASATAAGAGTTATGTTTACAAACATTAACAAAAATGGATTTTTTAAGTTTGATTCGGCATCAAAGTGAGAAATTGAACGGTCGCGAATACGTAAATCATTTATGGGAAGAAATAGAAGGTAAAAATTTTGACGCTGACATAAATCCGACAGCTGTCCAAGATTTCAACAATCATCTACCAGTCCTGCTGGAACAATTTTGGGAAGATGCTTTACAGAAACTCACTGGTATAACAACTCTTGACGAATATGACGAGGAAGTGAAAACTTATCTGTTGGTTCTCATATATCAATGCATTACACAATCACACGAGTTGATTTCATACAGCTGCGTTTTATATGCTTCTGAAGTGTATTTAAGTTTGTTGACAACACCTCAGACTGATGATTTTTACAAAAGCAAGCTTTACTGTGCTACTTTAAATACACTCCAGTCGTCTCTTGAAGCTACAGTGTCTGAATCTGTAAATAATCGGTTGATGTACAAGCTGAGATGTTTTTTAACTAAAGCAAAATTTAATGCTAGTGATTTGGAAGTCACTTTAGCAACGTTAATCCAGATCATTTTTATAAAGTCTCAAGAGACTTTTCAAACGTTTGAAGTCTTGCAAAATCCAGGATCAGTGGCATATGAAGCTTTATTGAGTCTAAAAGTTTTGTTTGAACAAGAGAATATTCCATCTAGAAAAATTATCATTACAACATATTTGTTCAATGGGTTAAGAAGACACAACACTATTAATCTCACACCTCGTCATTTTAACCTTATACAAGTCAACTTTCGAAATTTGCTTAAAAGTTTACATCCTAAATTCAAASAAGATCATTATAAAACTTTTCTAAACGCGTTTATCCACATATGGAAACATCCAGATTTTACTTTCTATGGCGTAATTATTCACTTTTTTTTCAGTACCTATTACTTTTAAATCATGTTGTTTCAGGAAGCTGTTTGCATTATGAACAGTTTAAAAGAGAAACATTACCGCACTTTGATTGACATTTTAAATAAAATGATGATATCAAAAACAGTTCACAAAAATTTGTTCAAATTTTCTCTTGCAATTATTTGTTTCTCACCCAAGCACGTGTCTATTGATAAAGTTAAAGTCACCAATGAAATTTTACTCAAAAATATTTTACTCAATTGTATTTCAAACAAATCGGAAATTTCGAATGCAGCTGTTGAATCCTTAGCTGAAATTTTGATGTCGCCTGATTTGAGTAAAGAATATGTTGAAGCACCTGTGAAAGTATTTTTCAAAGTACCTATTTGTGAATTGTGTTCTAGTTTGAGTTTTAGGCAATTTTRAATGCTAGCAGCSACCAAACAATGAGTACAGTTACGATAATCCGAGGTWTACAAAGTTTAATGAATAAAAAATGGAGTAACCGCTCAAAAAATAAACATTTATTTGTTATATTCCTTTCTATAATGTTGTTTAGCGAGGAAGATCATCCACAGATTTATAGAGAGGCATGTATTTGTATTATTATTATGAATAAATTGGGAAAAATCTGTTGTTTTTTTATAGGTTTTAGAATACTTAACAGAAGGATGTTCTCCCTTTGACCTAAAACCTTTTATATCACTGTTGTCAGAAACTTACTTAAAACTGAACGAAAAAAAGTACATATATAGCGCTCTTCAAGTCTTGAAAGTGATTTTTAAAATGGCACTACATCCAATGGCATCATCAACCGAATTTGTTAAGGTAATTTACTCCTAAAATGAGAATTATTTTTTAAAYAAAACTTTTTTTGTTCTCAGCATCTATATATGGCGATGATATACCCAAACATATGTAAAGGAATATCACAAACACCGGAACTTTTCATAGACCCAATCATATCCGATGATTTTAATTTTTCAGAATTTTTTCAAAAATGTCACACCTTAGGGCTGATTAAGTAAGTGTTGGATTATTTAGACTTTTTTTGATTGTTTCTTACAGAAAGGAGCATATAAGCAGGAACATGGAAAATCTTTCAACTATCAGAAAATGTAATTTAAAATTGCTTTGTGTGATTGTTCACTTGACCGAATATAAGGAGTTGTCGCAAATTGCTGATCATATTCACAATCATTTTATGATGATTTGTAACAGTTCCGATTTGAATTACTTGTTTTACATTTACAACAAAATATTCAAGAATAATACAGATTTAATGAGATTAAATTCGAATTTAAGGTGTAACGAAATTATGGTTTGTTTTATTAAACATCATCTACTCAGACAAAGTTTTCGGTGGGATTGTGTCGCTAATGCTTTTGCATTGTTGAAAACTCTTGAAGAATTTACGAACCTTAATGAAGATTTTCTTACATTAAAAGAAGTATTTTTACTTTTAGTTTTAAGTCGATTTTATTTAATTTTTCTTTTTAGCAATATGATAAAAGTTTAGCTTTGACTTTACGAAGCAGAGGCAGCTTTCTTCCTTTACTATATTTCTCTCAGCTGGTAATCTTCAGTAAAGTTATACCCAATGACATTAATCTTAAAGCTGTTACTGATTTTTTGCAGTTGTGCAGTAATGAAATACACCAGAGTAAGTAGAGTGTAAGTTTCTTGGATGTCTTTTCTTTCACGTTAACGTGAATTTACAATAGTTTGTTAAAGTAATAAAAATTAAATGAAATCAGTGGATTTAGAAAAGAGGAAATTTTGTTTACGTTGCGTAGTCTATCTATTTTTTTTTTATTTATTTATTTAACTTATTCTCAGGATCCCCGGAATTTAATCCAAAACTCTGGATTGGCTGTTTACTCCTCTACACAAACATTTCCGTAATTAGGACTAATTTGGTTGAATCTTGTATGGAGTATCTCCAGAGTGGTTTAAATTCGTCAGTGATGGTAGTCAAATTAGCATCGCTTAATATGACATTTGACCTATGCAACCTGTAGGTAATAAATGACAATACATAATTTTTATTAAAAAAATATTATACAGAGTGACCCACAACTTTGATGATTTGATACGCTACATGTTCAAGCAGCTTGTTTACGGCGATATTGTATTCAAAAAAACTTGTTTGAAGAAAATCGATAGATTGATACGAGACGATTATTTGAAGTTGGATTTGGAACAGTTTTTGGTTTTTACGGCGATTTTGGGCGACCGAGATGTGGATTTAAGCGATTATTTGAAGCAACTTTTGAATGAGTTTTTTTTCGTATCGAATGCGCCCGTTACTGCGAGGTATTTTGTGCCTTTGATTGTGCATATTAACGGTTACAGAGTAAGATAATGAGGGTTGAGGTCACATAAAATGTAATCGCTAAATTTTCAGAAACATAACAGTTATAAATTGAGCAAAAATGGATACGAATTGATTGAACTTGTCGCAAGGAATGTTTCAAATAGACGAAAGATCTACACGTTGTTGTTTACAAGTTTTCCAGTTAAAACTAGGTTTAATATAATCCAAATTATTTCAACACAAATTTTAGGTAAGATTCTTGAATGACTTTATATTTTTAGTTGTGTTTTTTTTTAGAAAAAATGATGAAAGGAGTAATTAAGCTTGACGAAGGTTTTTGGAAGATGATGAAGGATTCGATTTTTATTTTTAAGTTGATAGCTTCGAATTCAAACGATGAGGAATTTGGTGAAAACTATTACAAGAAAGTTTTAGGATACATCTCGAAATATTTATTACAGAAAACCGAATATTCTGAAAAAAGTTCATACGTTGTAAGTACTTACTACTTTTAAGTTTTTAAAATTTACTTTCTTCTTCTGTTTAGGAATACCACAAAGAGATTACACAAGGAACTGAACTTTTATTAAAATTATTGTTTTTCAATGACTTTGTCAATATTCAACAACATATTAGTATATCTCTTGTTGACGCAATTGTTCATTGGACCAATTTTCTAATGGCAGATGTAAGTCGTTGATTTTTTGTTTTTAGTTAATGTCGTTACATTTTAGCTGGTGCATATTGTTCACATTGAACGAAATAAAACGATACAAAATCATTTTTTTAAATTTGAGAAATATTATAAAGAAAACTGTGACAATTTGAGATATACGGAAGAATCTTTTGAAATGTGAAAACAATAACTTACAGGATGATGTTGTTTTGCCTCCAAGTAAGTTTTAAAATAACTTTTTTGTCCGAAGTCGGCTGGAGATTTGAACTTTTGATTTACCCGAAATAATATTCCGATTTTTACTAATATTATACCAAAGCTGTGAAACACTCGTGCTTTTTATAACAAATACTAAAGTCTTTTTTAAGGTCTTTATTGCAGACTGAAGTTATAGTATTAAACAAACTTTGACGTTTAATTTTTGCCAGAAAAAAAAAATTATAGTTTAATAAAACCAGTTTTTAATAGAAAAATTGGCAACATAAAATTTTGCCTATAGTTTGAGAACCACTCCGTATAACTAACATCTAATTTACATAGTGTAATGTGGAAACGTGATTAGTCTCATTTATGCATACTTTTTAGGGTTTCTCTTCAGTATGGCCGATGATTACGTTCCACCATTTGAAAATAGTTAGAATGATCTTAGATTTATATTTTTTTTATGAAATGTAGTTGATTTGATTTTTTTATTGAACTAAAATAAAACTTTCACAAGCTTATATCTAAATTTCTTRGCAACAACTCTTGATTTATCCAATTGCTAAACAACGCAACATTGACGTAAACSCCTGGAATGTTATTTTGCCCACATCCTATTCCCCAAGACACTATACCAACGTAAAAATATCTATCCATTTCTCCTTCAATGGGACAAACTAAAGGACTCCCCCCGTCTCCTTTACATGTGTCATTTCCTTCCTCACCTCCAGCACATACAAAGCTATCGTGCAATTTAAAAAATCTTCCCAGTTTTGTTCTCCTCAKATCATCCTCGCATCGCCTCCTCGTTACCATTGGTAATTCAACTTTTTTCATAAAAACTTGATTTTGGTCCTTTTTCTCGAAATCACCTTGTCCCCATCCAGTCGCGAGACAGTTTTTGCTCGTAAAAYTCGCATTCTGGGGCGGTAAACACACCACATTTATATGAGGTGCTATCTCAATGGGTTGCTCCAGAAATAAAAGAGCAATGTTGTTGAATAAAAGTTTAGGGTTAAATTTTGGGTGGATGGTTATTGACGCAACATTTCGTTCTTGGTGGGGGTATTGTTCGTATTCAGTTTGAGTGTCCCATTCGCCTGCACGAATTTTGTATTTGTGTTTGGTGTTTTGAACACAGTGGGCTGCAGTGACGACTACTTGTGGATTGATAAGGGTTCCTCCGCATTCATATGTAGTGTTATTTTGTAATTTGAAAATAGCTACCGTCCAAGAGAACTCRCCGTATTCTGCTTCGTTATGTTTGACGTTTTGGTTTTTGAAACCCACTCCGTTGGTGTTGCGATAGCCACAAGGCTTATTCGATTTATCTGGACGGSTTGTGGGGGCTTCGGGTGGTTTGATTATTTGGTCGTGTTTACAACATTTTTCCAGATATGAGTTACATTCATTTATGCTGGAAATAAAAAAAGAACAAGTCAGTAAAAGGACAATTGTTGACAGTGTGTCCTAGCAAGTTAGTAAAGTCTCAATATTGTTCTTTAAATGTTACTATATGGAAAAAAACTACRAAAAACAGATATTACTGCCTTATGTGAAATTATTTTTATACATATAGGTAGGTATACATATAGTAGGTGTTTTAAAAATGAGTTGCAATACAAACTGTTTTTAAATGAAACATTTTTAAATTTTATTTGTCGCTTTTGTGAAGTTTTTAGAATAATTTGACAAAAATGTTATTACACCAAAACTAAGTGTTTTACTGTTTTAAAGAAGAAAGTACAAAATTTAAGACTACAATATARAGGGTTATTCATAAATATGAAGCAATATTTGAACCTCAAAAATGACCTATAAAATGATGTTAATTTAAATAATAAATCGTGCCCTATCTCTACTGATAAGAATTTTACAGCCCTCGGAATGTGGGTATGGAAATTTGATTTTTTTGTAATAACTTTGGAACTATTTGACCAAATATTACAAAATTTGGAACATTTCCCTGTAACAACATACCTTTTGGTAATCACGAAAACCGGATACATCCACTCAATTTCCGGTTCCAGCAGTTGCAGGTCACATTTTCTGTGTTTTTCCATTTTTTTGCTCTCTTAACACCAATTTTTTATTGCTCAAATAGATAGAGTAATCAATTTC